CGAGATATAGCTATTTTTTAAGAAATGACGGCGGCCATTTTTAAATTCAAGATGGCGGCCGAAGTTGTAGTTGGATCGCGTGTGTCCTGCTTTTAAATGAAAGAGCATACAAAAGTATGCAAGTGTACCAATTTTCATACTTTTTTCACAATTTGAACGATTTTTTCCTAATCTACTGTACTACTACGCAATTCGGTTCGTTGCTTGAGTAATATCGTCTGCTTAGCCTAGTAGCAGTAGTAGTACTAGTGGTGTGGTTATATACTGTGGTACCTATAGTTATATATATATTTTGTTAGTTTGTGCACATCAGCGTGCGTGTAATTAGATTGTGAGATAGAAGGAGGAATGAGGAGGAATGGTAAGCGGAGGGAGGAAGAGAAGTCCAGGAGGGGAGAGATGTTGTACAGGAGGGGAAAGTGGTAGATAAGGAGGGAGGAAGTCGACAAGTAAAAGAAGGGTAAATGGGGAGGGGGTATGGAAAAGTGGGAGATAATGGTTGAGGGGGAGGGGAGGATGAGGAGGTGGAGGAGGAGGAATGGAAGAAGAGGGACGCGATAGCTAGAAAAATAGGAAGGAGGTCAATGTATGAAAGATGTTGGTGAAGGAGGAGAAAGAATGAAGTACTGGACGAGGAAGGAGGAGGAAGAGGGGAGAAGGAAGAGTGAATTGGTAGAAGAGGGAGAGGTAGATGAAGACGGTTAACGAAGAGGAGAATGAGGAGGGCAGAAGAGGGGGAAAGCGGAGGGAGGAGGTGAAAGAGTGGGATATTGTAATTGAGGAGGAGGAGGAGGAGGAGGAGGAGGAGGAGGAGGAAGAGGAGGAGGAATATGAGAAGAAGGAGCAAGAGCATGAGGTACAGAAGGAGGACGGAGGAGGCAGATGAGGAGGGGAGCTTGAAGAAGGAAGGGCGAGGTAGAGGAGGAGGATGCCTGATATATACCTGAATAATTTTCTATGCAATTCTCTATGAATAGAAGGATCAAAAAAGCCGATTTTGTTTAATAATGTCTTCAGTTTATGAAGGACAAAGTATGTCGGTTTTTCTTTAATATTTTCTACCCGCTAGAAAAGACAAGAACAGCTGGAGCCTATCATAGATATAGAATACAGAAAACCTGTGATCCCATTATCAAAAAACGTTCGAAAACCCGTCATCATAGATAGCTGTTATATCGTGGCTGCTGTCTTGAAACAAATAAGTGTCCCGTGCACAGGGCCGTAGTGGCCGCCACGGCAGCACGGCACCGCCGTGGCACTATTGTGACAAAAAAAATTAAAGAGCTGACTGTTATCTGACTGGGCTGTCTAAGATTTGGAATGTGTATTTAATATGACAATGTGCCTATATAAGGTATTGTGATTCAAATTCAAACTTCAAAACATACAAATGTACATAGTGAAAGTGTAAATACAGATTGAAAATGAGCTTATTTTTCATAATTATGTACTGATACTGATAGTATCAAGAGCTAATAAACATATATTTATATATAATATTTATTAGCTCTTGATAGTATATACAATTTTGTAAACAATGTTTTATTAGTTATCATACTCATAATCTATATTTTAGATACTTTAGTCAAAACATCAGCTTTAGCTACATTCCTTTTTGAAATGTACAAATTGACCTTTTAAAATGATCAGAATTGGTTGCTTTCAACATAGCCTGAAAATGCAGGAAATGCCATTTTCAGGCTCTATTATTTCAAAAATGTTAGTAGTAGTTTTCAAAAACTATCAATCGTCGTGCGCGTGTCCTGTATGTTATTAGTAACTGGTGATGTTGCAATGAAACCAAATGCATGCAGGCGGTACAAGAAGAAGTAATGTATTGATATAAAGAAATCCCGTATTATTTTACTTATAATACTTATTTACATTACCCTTCCTCCTCAATCCTCTTCAACCTTCCTCAACCTCCCTCGCCTCCACCTTCTCTATTCTTCATGTAACTCCTCAATTCTCGACATTCTCTCTTCTCTCTCTCTCTCTCTTCCTCTCGCCTCCTCCTATTACTTTCCCATTCCCCCTTTACCTCATTCCCTTCCTTACCTCCTCCTCCTCGTCATCGTCCTCCTCCCTACCTTCCTCTTTTAATTGCCCCTCTCTCTCCCCGCCTCTAACTTCTTCCTCCTACTCCGTTTTCTCATTTTCCACCTCCTCAATCGTAATCCATATTTGTCTTTTATACCCTACACCTTCTCCTCTCTTCTAACCCTCTTTCCTCTATTTCGCCATTATTCTTCCTGTCCTATACATTTTCCCTTCGTAGTATTCCCCGTTGTTACCCCGCCCTTCTCTTTTACTTCCTCCCTTCCCTCCTCTACCTTTTCGATCACTTTCTATTCTTTTCTCCTTCGCCTTCTCACTCTCCTCCCCTTCTCTCGCTTCTGCTTTCCCTCACTATTATTTTAGTTTATTTATCCTTTGCTCTCTCTCCCATACACACTCCTTACTCTCTGCAGTAGTAAACTGATGATTACTATTTGTGAATACTTTACCCTTGGCCAATTTTCGGTGACTAATTTTCTTGTGACAAATTTCTGTATCACTATAGTTTTCCTGCAATTGATTTTCCGATGAGTAGTTTTCCTTCACTCACCCATAGACTAAGATATATCGATCTTATGATACCAGGGGCGTAGCCAGGATTTAAAAAGTTGTAGGCACGACTATCTGAGCGGAGCGCCACCATCGGTTGGCGCGGAGCGTACAAGAAAATTTTTGGTTTTACAAACCCCCCAGATGGCCGAAAACGGCCCTTCCCGAGTGTTCATTCTGGTTCCCTGGCCTCTTGCTAAATTGAGACACCTCATTCAATATCACTTTTAAACCCAAAAAACAAACGAGTTAAAATAGTGTCACGAACGAGTTAAAATGTTAAAAAACTGACAAGATCGGATCCTAGTCTTTTTCGGCGGGTAGAGTGTTGAATGAAACGGCACGCGATAGAAATGACAGCCTAGATGACAGAAGAATAGGTCACCTAATTTAGCCATATTCTTGCTACGTTCATTTCAATAGTTTTTCCTGTCTAGACTCTTAAACTCGTCCAGCAAGCTTATGGATTTGAATTATGGGTGTTTAAAAAAAAAAGATAACTTGGCCAAAAAAAGTGTAGGCCCGGGCCTACAGTGCTACATACTGGCTATGCCTCTGGCTACAATAATCTATACCTTGACATAGATATATAGCTCTATCTGTCCGGCCGGTGAGCGAGGGGACCATCCCGTACACGAGTGGAGCGCGCGATATAATATTATAGGCCTACACCATTTTTATTGACCAGCTTCGGTTCTATACGTAACTCGAAACGATATGGTGCATAATATGGAAATTGGGAAGGCATGCAGTGAGAACCACTTCATAATTAAGTCAGTTACGGAGACGGAGACCCGACATATTAGACTACGATGTGCCCTCTATTTTAAATGCATAATATTTGCAGACCATTATAATTTAGAAAGATACGGGGCGTGCGCAAAATAGAGTACATATGGGGAAATTGGGAAAACTGCATTTGTTCGATCCCCCTTTAAAAGTTTCTTTCATTTCTGCCTTCTCTACATCTACCTCCACTTCTACCCAACCTCTTCCTTCTCTCTTTTAAACTATATGTATGAATATAGCTCTTCACTTCAACTGTAAGATTGCAATAAAATAATCCCCCCCTCCATTAGATAGCGAACCGCTGTGCGCGCGCGAATACGACCAACTCCGCCAAGAAATGTAAGGTAATGTAAGTGTGAGTGTTTTTCTGTCTGCGTGCGCGTGTACGCGTATGTGCGTGTGCGTGTGTGTACGTGTGCGCGTGCGTCCGTGTCAGTAAATGGAAATTGGGTGGGGGCAAGGACCTCATAATGATTAAAGTATGACATGATATTATTAGAATTTAAATGTGAATATGATCCAAAAACGAATCGTAATATTGATGTCTCTGCATGGCTCGTGTACATTTGTAGTTGAGGAAGAGAAATGTTATCAATTGAGGTTAACATCGTATACGTGGTGCAGTATATTTTTCCGGTTACTAGAATTCCTGTCAGTCCTGCATCACACGAAAACCACCTCGTATAAAAATTACTATATTTTTCAAGTCTTATATCGTTATACAAGTAATTTATAACGTGTCATTATTACTTTTTGAGAGATAAACAGCATTAAAACCATTATTTTGTTATAGGCAACTACCCATTTTATTCGAAATTCCTTTCATCGTTACATTAATTTTAAAATAATACATTTCAATCTGTTTAAACTAGCCGCGAGAATTCGTCTTCGATTTTGCGACCATGATCATTAGTGGTATTCTCTCATCCACACACTATAATATGGAATAAAATCATTACCCGTAAAAAATTATCACTGCAGTTGTGAGGGAGCATATAGCAGCCCCACTCCACCACTAATCATACCTCGGTCGATTCACTACCTAAATTTAACCTTCTCCATCGTTAGACGTAAGCATGCACCAAATCAGATTATATGTAGCGACTTCACACTTCATGTTAATTACGAGTAGGCGTCGATCCAACCTCTGAGCACCGTGACGCGGGAATAAATGCCAGGAGACTGCGGCCTTGCGCAACCGTAACCCCAGGAGACTATACCAACCAGGACTGAGTTGCTGGGGTTACTCATGGAATGGTTGATGACCAGTGGTCCGCCGGAGTCACCCTTTGAATACGCGTGAAATAATAACATAAATAACGACCTCTTAAATCACTCATTGCGGATGGACATTATATATACTTATAACTGACGTATTAGGCCCTACATGTAAACGTGACAGCGTGTGCAATATAGACCTAGCTGAGTGTAAATATACGAGTATTTGATGATACCCAGATATGTCTCTAAGGAGATTGATAAAATACGATTCTATAAAATAAGGCACGGTACGACTGAACGAGAGCAAAAAGATACTGTTACTTAGTCATGCACACCGAGTTTGATCTGTTAATGAGTTAAGTAAGCAGTTTACACGAGTTATTTAGATGAGCGTATGAACTGCCTTTATATGAAAGCTGCCTGACTACAGCGAAAACCTACCTGACAGGCGTCCTTTCCACCGTCGGGATAACCAGCACACATCATGCGGTTGGTGATGACGCCTGAACCGAGTACATCGGCGCATTGCACGTTGGACATTATTGCTACGTTAACATACCTAAGATTCCTGGAGATATTTCCATCTGACAGCATAAATACACGTACAGTTATATAAACGTATGTAATTATTAACGCATTATGCATATAATAATTACAGATCAGATCTGTTTACCGTAAATCAAGGTTGCAAACCTATTATAATAGTTTGATGGAACAAAGAATCCGAGAAAAGAGCTATCGAACTTTAAACCATTAACATTAATCCACTCCTTTAATAATAAGAAACGTCGTAAGGATGGATAGCTCATATCTTAACTAACATTACCGAAAATATTACTAGTTCATCCTTATCGTGCGTTCACAACCCGACCACAGTCATTACATGAGTGTTTATAAACCTACCTTCACTAGTGGTTCCCCAGCCACTGACCGTTCCCGTATATCCACTGTAACTTGAACCGCCGGACGCCATCGTAACTAACTGGGTATACGTATTTATTGACACACTACTGCTTAGTATCATCGTGGCCACGTCGTAATCAGTTGTGTATGAGTTATACGAGCTGTGCTTGTTCACGCGCGATACCTGTAAAGTTTTAAGTGATAATTATTGGTACTTAGACGACCAAAAACAGAGAAATGTATAACATCATTCCGCATTGAACGGCCTACGGTCGAACAGTTTGCGCTGTAGTCTCGGCGTCTATATACCCCGTACAGACTACAAATTTGATATGGTATTAAACTGGTGCGCGCCAAGCGCGCGTCAATTTTGTTCAGTGTGTACACGCTATCCCGCTCCGAATACGCGCTGGCCTGCACCAATTTGGCTTCGCAAATGAAGGAGGGACAGGCCCGCTTCGAAGAGAGCTAATTTTGTACGCTCCAAGTTAGCCCGCTTTGAACATGTCTGTACGCAATGTGGGGCCAGGCGCGCGTCAGATTTTGCAATACGCATGTGCATAACTTTATTTAGATCACATAAAAGTACAATAGCTGTCTGTCGAGTGACGTAACAAGCTAAACTGTGCATGAACAATCAATCAGTGCCAACTTAACCCGCTTCAAAGATTTGTGTATGTACGCTACGCTGGGCGCGCGCCAGTTTGATACCATATCGATTTTTTAGGGATAATAGTCTTGGTGCTATAGTCTAGTTAATCGACGGCACACACCGATAGCAAGTTAAGCAAAAAAAGATGTAATATGAAACTGAATAATTATTGACCCTGTGTCTAGTTCCTCCAGAATACGTTGTCGAGCCGACTCTGATTTCAAATCTGCTTGGTGAGTTCTCATACCTGTAATTTACACACGCATTCTGTCGAAACATCGTGGATATGAAACAAAGGAGCAAGACAAAACGTAGCAAGTCAATGAAATTTTTTCAACAAGAGGCCTGGGTCGACATTACGGGGTGTGGTGCAATTGGGTTCAGGTGCGATGCAGAGTTTCAGCGAACACCTATGACGCTATGTTAGCTTTAATGATTTACTTAGACAATTAATAGTTTTATTTGTGCTTTTTTAAATGCTACCACGTATCAAGGTACGTTTCAAAATCCATTTCTCACCAATTGTATACTATGTAAACTTGAAAGACTAAATTGTAACACTTGTCAGTTAACTTATAAAATGATCCTAAGTCACAGATAATATATACATATATATATATACATATATATATATACATAATATATATATATAGATATAGATATAGATATAAAGTTCAGATTTCCAGATGCAGGTTAAATTGCGCAAAAATGACAACAACTGGAGACAAAATTATGCACTCTCATCATCAGAGAATTAATTGTCATGCAAAATAAAGCCTAGTGATATAGCGCATCATCTTCGCGACATTGGAAACCCCCCGGTAAGAGAAAAATGTGACATTCCTTACGGCGGTTTCGGAAGAGATACGTGAAATTACGCGCGGCCGTTACAGTAATACTATATAGATATAATTATATATATATATATATATATATATTACCTATGAACGCAATGAGCGGCCGTGAGTACCACATTGGTACGGATCAGTTCACCACCGCAGATGAAATTACCATCCTTGTACATGGCAACCTGGAGGCAAACACAATATTAAATGTCGTAAACAAAATTTGGAATTGAGTCTATTAAATCGAATGTACGTACCTCTAGGTAACGCCTTTGACAGAGCTGCTAATGTTTATTGCGCAAAATTTATCGTTTGGGTCAAGAAAATATTGGTGATCGTCTCTAATTTATATTTCAGATTTATATGTTATTTTGTAAAGAATGTTTACCTTTTACGTTAAATTAGATTTCAGAATATCATAAACAAGAGCCTAATTTGCATGAAATCTATACAATTAGCATATTTGCAGTATATGTTACAATATGGAGCTTTGTAAACAGTTCAAGTGGATTAAAATTAAAATATACTTATATATTCATGGTATACGGTATATGGTAAATATGGTTGTATAGCGTTTTATTATAAGCAAGCCCATACCAGAATGTACAAAGTGTGGACTATGGGAAGAGTTTCCTGTCACGCATTTGAACAAATCGCGTGAATTTTGTAAATAAATCAAGTCGAGGCAGTTTCGAATGTCTGCCGTTGAGATCATCAAGTATTCTTTGTTTCTGCCTTATCTCCCTACCATCTCTCTCTTCCATCTCTCGGCGGAACATGAACACGATAAGCTTTTTTCGTATTGCTCATTTACCTGGTAGGGAAACTTATCGATGGTGGTCGTTGCTCCGCCGACAATTTTAGAATCATCCATAGGTTTGACACCTGCAAATGTAGTATGGTGTCTTTCATTTTACGCACCTGAGTGGTCTGCGAACGATGGTAATTAAGCTATGTTGTTGAACCATGGCGAAATTATTATGATCAGTATATTATCAGGCGTGAATAAAAACAATTTTGTTTCCATTCACTTCTGATGTTATCGACAGGTTTAACGCAGAAAAAAATTCTACAATGTATAGGAGTCAGTAGGCGCAACCACGCTAATCGTGTCTGCCAGTGAAATAAATTTTTTATATATATAGTAACTATTGGGAAATTGATCGAACGCACCTTCGGGTAAGCGTGGCCATCTCGGTCTGCCAGGATTAAGACCTTAAAACATAGTACAAATGTTTTTATGTTAATATCAATTCATGTACACACGCGCGCGCGCGCAAGCAGGCAGGCAGGTAGGCAACATGTTTCTTATATTATAGATTTTGGTTTTGCTATAATTTAGTTTGCGTAATGGTTACGATAAATTATAGCAACTAATTTTATCATACTAGTATTTTTCAATTATTCATACGGTAAGTATCATTCATGCATGAAATCAAGCGAAATTAATATCTACGCAAAAAATAACCGTAAAATAGAGTATTTCACCTTACCTGGCAGAAGCCGGTGTATAGTCATGCACGGACGGTGCATAGACAACGTTAATATCACGGAATTTTACTCACAGACAACACGGAACGACTCACAGACAAGTTAAATAGAATCATATTGCATACGTACCTCCCTGCAGATCTGCAGCGGCAACACAAACCAAAGCGAAGGCGATTAGAAGCGTCATCTTGCAGCTACTCTTCCAGTGGCTGATCAGGAATGAAGTAAACTGGAGCTGCACGGATTTTTATACTATGGCTCATCGACCATGAGCTTATTCCCACAGAAACAACCCAGCTGCTTTGTCAATATGGCAAATATGGCAATACGCGATTCGTGATGATAAACGTCTTAATATAAAGAACCAAATCCTTGTGCGCGTGCTGAACATCTGTCGATTCAGGTTTGCCACACGATGAGCTGCTTTCGTGGCTATGACCTTATTCACATCTTAATCGTAGCAAGAGCAGGGACTTGTCTTGTAAATAATTGCTGTCAGAATTGATATCGTTCTAGAATCATTTGCTTACGGAAGGAATTCATGGTATGTGATTAAGATGTGTCAATGTCGCAACGAAATTAAACAGAAATATAGGTTAAAACCTTAAAACCATTTGAGATCCTGGCAATAATTGATTTGAGTTTAGTGCAAGATAATAATGATGAACACAGTGAGAAATATAACTCTGTTTTCATAGCTTCGAAAGACTGTGAAAATACTCCGATAACTAGTGTGGAGGTATTAGTTTATTTTATGAGCGTGTCATATATGTAATACTAGCAGCTAGGACACCCGGCGTTGCCCGGGAAATAAAGCGCTCAGTTGGTGACCACTTGGTTGAAAGAAAAATTCCCAAAGAAAAGAATCTATTCTTCTATCTATCTATCTAACCTACCTACCTACCTACCTACCTACCTACCTACCTACCTACCTACTACTACCTACCTACCTACCTACCTACCTTACTACCTACCTACCTACCTACCTACCTTACCTACCTACTACCTTACTACCTACCTACTACCTAACCTACCCTACCTACCTACCTACCTACCTACCTACCTACCTAGGCTACCTACCTACCTACCTACCTACCTACCTAACCTAACCTACCTTACCGACCTGACCTACCTACGCTACCTTAACCTACCTACCTTACCTACCTTACCTAGCGTTGTACTAACCTACATACCGTACCTACCTACCTATTACCTACCTACCTACATACGGATACGTACGTTACGTACGCTACGTACGTTACGTTACGTAACTACGTACGTACGTACGTACGTATTGTAGTACTGTTGTATGGTCATGTATGTATGTTATGTATGTATGTATGTATGTATGTATGTAATGTATGTATGTATGTATTTATGTATGTATCTATATCTATAATCTATATCTATCTGATCTATCTATTCTATCTATCTACTATCTATCTCATCTATCTATCTAGTCTATCTAGTTCTATCTATTCTATCTTATCTAATCTATCTATCTATCTATCTATCTATCTATCTATCTATCTATCTATCCATCAATCAATCAATCTATCTATCTATCTATCCATCTATCTATCTATCACACTCTATAGTCTATAGTGCTATAGTCTTGCACACTCTGTATCCAGTGGAAGTGATGCAAGTGTAACTGAAATGATATGGAAGATGGCCAAATATGGAGTACTGGCCGCGCATAGAAGAAAAGTGCGCGCGGCAAAGAGAAAAGAAAAGATAACATGGTGGATCCGTGCGCCATAATGAAAGCCAGCGCACGGATTCAAAGAAATGACTAGGTGACAGAAAGTGTTCCTCCTCAGGGTGGCATGTACGAACCGCCGCAGTATATATAGTCTATTTCAAGCAGTTGTCTCTTATTTCCCAGTCCGCTGCGCCTTGATGAACAGTACTAGTAGAGTCCACTATAAGCATTTGCACTCGTTAACGAAGCCTGGCAAAGGCCGTGTCACAGACGGTGCGGTGCCCGTGCATGGTTAATTCGTCAGTGATAACACTGATATACACATTGGCTCCCCCCTCACATCGGCAGTTAGGTAATGTCTTTTTGTTTGAACCCTGCCAGGTGTTGCCTGGGACATCGACAGTTTGCTGCATGTATGTATATCGAGCTTGTGACAATTAAGGGCATCGGGAGCAGTACGTGCACTAACGTAAACATAGACTGGTAGGATGCAGTTCGCTGCATGTCTATCCAGACGAGAGACCGGATACCAGAGAAGCGTCGCCTGAGAGGTGTTAATCCTGCCCGCTAAGCGCAGATCTTGCGCGCAGTTCCGCAGCAAGGCGCACGCGACCGCGGGAACGTCCTACAAAAGTATCACGCGCTGGCAGCTATTGATCCGTGCACCAAATCGAAAGGCCGGCGCACGGATCAATTGCTGCCAGCGAACAGTCTCGAATTTTAGCGGGTCTAATTCACTAGCAAACATATGCACACGTCATCGCGCAGGTCTAATAGCGATGTTTCACGTGACGTCATAGATCAGGTCACGTGTATTTGTTATGTTTTGTGGTTGGCAGAAGCGAAGCGTGCTGCTTGACATTTACAGATGAATGACCAAATGTTCTGATATAAAGCACTGTTTATGTAGTGCACGTACACGCGCGTGCTGCGTGCGTGCGTGTGCACGTACACATGCGTGCGTGCGTGTGCACGTACACGTGCGTGCATGCTTGCGTGTGTGCGTGCGTGCGTGCGTGTAAACTTACACGTGCGTGCGTGCGTGTGCACGTACACGTGCGTGCGTGCGTGTGTGTATGCGTGCGTGCGTGCGTGTAAACTTACACGTGCGTGCGTGCGTGCGTGTGCACGTACACGTGCGTGCGTGGGCACGTACACGAGCGTGCATGCGTGCGTGCGTGCGTGTGCACGTACACGTGCGTGCGTGGGCACGTACACGAGCGTGCATGCGTGCGTGCGTGCGTGTGCACGTACACGTGCGTGCGTGGTTGGGTCTATAGTTATAGTATAAGTAGTTAGTGTTAGGGTTAGAGATGGGGGGTATTCATTTTACATTGTTGCTTCGAGGAAGTCGAGTGAATGGAGTGCGCTGATTGGCTGTGGTCCGAAACTTTCGTGGAAAAAAAATTTTCGCGCCCGAGACATATCTGTCATTACACACCCTGCTTATACTAATTTTCGTATTGATTTGGTACAGGCTGTAATATATTATTTAATGTCGATGTCCCTGATAATTATAGTGTTTACGCTAAACGTATTTGTGGAAGTTTCTCTGTTCGTCTGTTCTCGACTAGTGGCAAACTCCGACGACAGATGGCGCTCTCGCTCTGGCTCAATTCTACCACTGCCACAAGCTGATTTCCGTAAGAATTTCTTACGCTTTTTTTACATAAGTTTTACAGCGACCCCGTTACTCCTGTCCTATGTAATACGGTGTGTACTTATAAAAGCTGCAAAGATATTAAAAATCCAACCATTATTTTATGAGAAATTTGATAAATAGTGATACGAAATAGTGCGCCCATTTACTACTTTCAAATCATTACGCGCTGTTTACTAAACTAAGTTCATGTATTTATCATGAATTTTTGGAATGATTGCCATATACCTAATTCTCACAACATTGTCTTTTGATACTTGTGCGTATTCAACTTAAAACATCTAAATTTGTCCACCAACAAACATGCAAATCATAGAAATTTCGAATGTTTTGTTCGACGGCGACTTCGCAGCTGTTGGATTGCCATTTGCTGGATTTCCCCGGAGCTCCGCCCACTTTAAAAATAGTGCTAGCATTGTGGCAGTGGTATTATCCTGAGTGTGGGAAGGGGCACTGCATGCAGTTTGGACTAGTGGGCCCGGACGAGAAATATTTTTTCCCAAACAGGTTTACCTATTACAGTAAAATCCTGCCTCCTGATTGGTTCAAAGGCAGGCGTGTTCACATGTGCGGCAGGCGTGTTAATTTCATTTATTAGTGTTAATTAAATTTAATTAGGGTTAGGGTAGTTTAGGGTTTAGGGTTAAACGTAATTTTACTACTCATTTACTGTAAATAGGTAAACCTGTTGGGGAAAAAAATTTCGCCGACCCCGGACGCGGTGATTTTTTTTCCTAGGTCAATCAAGAACATAGGGCTGTATGGAGCGTGCTGCTATTGGATTGAGCTTGTTTCGTCACTCAATGACGTCACAGTATTTTCATATACATAGCACATTCAAATCCTAAACCAATAATAGTCTTCATAGGGTAGCGGTTAGAGCGCCAGCGTCAATATGAAGGTCGGCGTGGCATCGCGAACACGCTATCGTTTTCTAATTAGTTTTCCTGTTTTCTGTATGTTCCGTATCTTTGTATTCGCTTGAACATTTTTTTCTCCAATTAACGCATTTGACATGATTATAGTTTAACAATACCACTTTTAAGATAACAACATGATGTACATCTTTCACTTACAACACAGAATCAAACTACACATTAGACTTTGTTATTATATATTATTAAAATAGGATTTGCGGTTAGGGTTAGAGTTAGGGTTAGGGTTCAGGATGTACGGCTCACCGTGTCTCTGAGCATCCTGTTACCGGGCTCTTACTTGGTCCGGCGGTCCTGGCCCTCTACATCTTTCCTCAGTGACATTCTGCCGAGCTCCAACCTTACAAACTATCACGTCTGAGCCTTTGCACTGCTCTGACTCTTGTCCATCAATCTCCAACTGGCGTACGCGCCCCTCGCTCGCCTCTCTTTATGCATCGTGGCCTATTGTTCTTGATATGACTCTACTCGGAGTAAAAAATGACCTACCTCTGCTCCTCCGCTCCTTGTTGCTCTCACCGCTTCCTCCCCGGAACGCCCTGTCCTCTTCGTTGCAAACCGGAAGTTTGAGTTCATATATGCAAGCGGCACGCTCCCCATACTTGGCAATGTTAAATAACAAACGGGCGCGGATTACCATACTGGGGAATTCACTGGGAATTCTCGTTTTATATACTCTTTCCACATTCTCGGTCCATACCATGTTGATCTTTTGACTTGATCATCATCTCGTGTGACTCCTTCTCTCTCTTCTCACTCTTTTCTTCGTCATCTCTCTCTTTCTTTTTTTTCTGGTCACTCCCTCCACTTCCTCCACCTTCGACCCCTCCTCTTCCGCATCGCTTAGCACCGTTTTGCGTACTTCTTCTTCTTCATCCTCCTATTCTTTTCTGGTATCTATTAATCACGATCCCTCGCTCCTCCACCGGAAAAAGCGCCGTTAAAAAGTGTTACACAGTTAGACGCCGTCACATGAATCCGCGCTGCCATCCCAATGAAACACTTAAGCTGGTTAACCCACCCACATGCCCACTTCTACACCGATTGTTTCACCTCGCTGACGTGCCTGTCTCCTCTCTCGCTGCCAAAATTCTGATTGGTTGATACAATCACCGCGCCTCTCTCCCTGCCATCGCCTCTCGTTCGCCTCGAATACCTTCCCTCCCAATGACCGCCCACAGTGGCTGTCAACGCTCTTGCACCCCGCCGCATCCCCTCCATTAACACCACACACGGCCTAGGAGCAGTAGGCGATCGACCTCGGGCAGGCCACGTGGTGCGTGCGTGTAACCCGCATCCGTCACGGCAACCACGACCACCGAACCGAAATGTTCGTTTTTTGGGAGTATCCCCCATTGTTTTTTCATTTATTTTCCCTGGTCTTCTTATTTTTCTAATGTTTATCCAATATTACATGGATTTATTTACAACAATTTAATAACAACAAAAGTATTTTTTTGTTTACTAGGGTTAAGGGTTAGGGTCACAATCACCATACTAAACAGGAGTTTGAGAATACGTGATCTTGTATCAACGGCAATGATTGGGGAGCTATGCAGGCCTAGCTGCGTGTGTGTAACACAGATCTGGTATATTGCCATCCGTTGTATTTGCTTTGGCGTTTCGCCTGCAGTGATTGACGAGCAGTTCTTCATGATTCTGATCGCAATAGCGATGTTTCACATGTTTATTAAACATGTGAGTCAGTTAAGGCCGGGAACGTGGCGTGAAGTTATTCAAACACCGGACTGGCAGGCAGCTAGAATGATAACAGAAGTTCACATTGTGATGAATGGTTAGACGAAGTTTACCATAGCACTCACAGCGCACAGAGCACGGCGAGTGCGCACGCTGCCTGCACGGGAGCACAGGCAGGTGGGAGTGTGGGGGATACGGATGATCTGTACGATAACGAAGGCGTACGCACACCACCATACTACATCAAGACGAGGCTCAAACGACACTAATCATAGCGCACCTCTAGGCTCTCTCAACGTCAAAACGCACGCACGTGTGCGTGCACACCACATATACCTCAATCTATGGTACATGCCTGCTACTAAACATGCGCTACGAGTCATCTGTTCTAAGAAATATCGACATCAGCTCATTACGCCCAGCGCACGTGCCTTACTGTGGACATCATATACATGGCGATACGCACTTCTACAGGAAGTGTCCTGTTCATCATACACTCGCGCTACACGTGCATAGAAGCGAACAGCTTCGTAACATATTCACATGAATCCACATGCCGCTTTTACTGTACACTCGCGCGCACATAAGCTAATATATAACCATTAATGAGAGGACTCACGTAACTTCACCACGAAGTCAATGCCTGTTATATATATAATTATAATATATGTTATACATTAAATGTTGGAGGTTTTTTTGCCGCTTTTAGACCCAAGCATCTTTGAGTTGTATCTCAAAACTTTACCAGATGCACTACATATGCATTGTATGATAACTGATATAGTATGTATATAATTAGTAGGCTTATTAAATATATGTTTTATTTATACACCATTAATATACCATTTTTGAGGGTTGTTAGACATAAAGCTTGGAATGTAACATATGCATTGTAATGATAACTTTTATATATA